TCAAGCTGGCTAAAACAAATAAATCCTGGCAGAGGGTTGATTCTGCACGCCAGATGGATGAGCTTTGACACAGCGGATAATAAAAGAGTGAGTGAGGACGTGGCAAACTATTTGAAAGTCAATTTGACGCAGCTTCTTTTTCGCTGTCAAATTACCTGTCTGGGTGTTTTAATGTGCTCATTTTCACCATCTGCTGCGCCAGATTTGACCAGATTAAAACACATTTGTGAATATCATTGAAGCTCCAACATTCTGATGTTGTATTAATTCTGTTAAACTTCGACCCACTGTTGATGGAATACAATGGAGCAATAGTCTAAATTATCCTGAATTCTAAAGGAGTGTGACGCAGAAATTCTGACAATGAATAATACATTTCCATAAAAAGTGACCAAAAATATGATTCTCAGAGGAAAGGAAATCAACATAAGTGACACTGACTTTCAGAAGGATGTCACAGATCTGGAATCAGCAATACCTTTTAATGTCAAGTACAGATACTTCAGACGATAAGTGGGTTATAAAGATAAATTCAGAAATGTGTTAAAAGAGAGTGAATGGGAAATGACACACATATATAGGGTTTTAAATAAATCACATTGTGTTCAATTATTGTCATGGAAGTCCAGAAAGTCTAAAGTTGCAGTAAGCTTTGTAGCTTAAAGGCATGGATCCTTGAAAAATAATGATTTTAAGCCCCAGTGTGTAATATTTCTCCCTGTTTACAATAAATCCTGTTTCCAGTTCACAAACTTGTACTTTTTAATTAATCTTTCTCAACATCAATTTGTAAATAATCGTGTCAGCTTGAATTTTTTAACTTTTGAATACATAAACTGTGGTCGACGCTCCATGGTCATCCACCATCTTGAAATACAGTAGGTGTTTAGGGACATACAAGCTCTGCTTTGTGCGTTTGGACTGACTGTAACCTGAAAGAACCAGCAGAGGGCAGCAGTGTGCCCTGGAAGCAACTAAGAAGTAGTCGAGGCTAGCCACACCGTTGCTGTACTTGTTAGTTTGAATAATAAACAATGAAATCGAACATGCCATTTGACAGGTCGTCATCATGCCCGGAAGCTGCATACGTTAAGATCCCCGCCCGCTGTTAGCTGGACACCAACCTCCCAGTGGTGCTCCCCCTGACTCCCCAACTCCCTAACTCACCTCAAGTTGCTCATTCGTCTTTCTTCGTACCAGAGCTCCCGATCCAGTCCCAACGTGTCAGTTCCAAAGTCCTTCAACTCAATTCTCCTCTCTTTCGTTCGTTCTGTTCGTTCCTGCAGTCTGCCGTCTCCCAACACACTCCGGCACTCGTTTGCTATCCAGTGGCAAAATTTGCATTGTTTACGTGATCTCCACAAACATTACTAACAGCAACGTATTTCTCCACACATTACAGGGATGACGTGCTTCTCTGAGGTCTTCTTCCCAAATGTATAGACCTCTTTCGGCCGGTAATTTGTGTTTACAAACAGCATACACAGCGTGTCCCCGACTTGCCAACCGCGGCTCATGGATTAGCTGGTGGCTAAAAGTCAGCATTGTTTACTTGATCTCCACAGTGTATCCCCGGCTCGCGGACCCTCCTTCGCCAGCCACGGTGCTGTCAGTGATCACTCCATAAAATATTGTTTTCTTTCTTTTCCACATCCATTAGCTGGTAGCAAGCTTCCAAAACGTTCTTGTAAATCCTTTACAGCATTCATTATGTCCTCTTCTTGATTTATTAGTAGGACTATTTTGGTTTTGGACATATAAGGTCGTGTTGTGAGTTCTCATTTACCTTGACATGTTTTAACCGACGACTGCGGTCTTCATCAGAAGTGTCACAGATGGTTGTGTGTCGCGTCTTTATCGGCTGTTCTTCTGGTGGGCGTGACCGACCCAGGTCTGTCAGATCTGCTGGGTCGGTCACGCCCACCCCCGCTGGCTGGTTTTGGAGAAGGAAATCCCAGCTGCACGACAGCTGATAGGCCCCCTCATCTCGGTTCATATCACTGTTCCTGCTTCGGTATTTCTATCGCCTCCCTGATCCAACATTTGAACCCGTTGCTTTCTGTGTTTACAATTCTCCCGTGATTCCAGTCCATGATGTGATTATTACGTTTACAATGGTCTGCGATGGCTGACTTGAGGGTTTGCTTCTCTGCTTTGTTTTGTTTATTTAATGTATTATTATTATTTTTTGTCCTTGTGAGTTTTTCTGTTGTTTCCTTCTCACACTCTTTTCGGTGCTCTTTTCTCCTCGTGTCAAATGTTCTCCCAGTTTCCCCATGTTTGTTTTATTGGACGACATGAATGGTATTTCGCAGATTACGTTGCATTTGTTGTCCGGTTCTGTTTTGTCTTTAGCAAATAGAGAAAAGGAAGAAGAAAAATAATAAGATTATTCTCTAACTTCATCTTCTCTGAACTTTATAGGTAAACACACAAAGGCAATATGCTACTAGTTTAATGTTCAACCACTAAAAACAACGAATAAGAAGAAAACTTGGGTTTCCAGAACTATGCAGCATAAGGAACACGGACATACTTAATGTTCATCCAGTGTTGCACAAACATTGAGCCCATACTGAATATTGCATTGGTGGTATTGGAACAGGAACCAGAGTAACACGTGAACATGTCTACATTAAACCGATTTGAACCAATCATGAACCTTTTATGATGAAATTAGAATATTGTTCTGAGGGTAGATCTGCAATATAAACCCTGTATTTATGTAACTCACATACACAAGAAAATATAACAACATGAAGATCTGACTTTTGAACTTGTTTTTAGTTCTGTTATTCACTTTCCCTTCATGGTTTCATTTATGTTCTTGGAAAAAGCTGTTGAAGCTGTCCTGTCTTCAAACACTCCCACCCCACCCATCCCCCACAAGGTCTCACAATCAGATGGTTGCTAAAACAGTACAAAACCGGCTTACGACACAAACGTGCATGAGCATTACATTACTGTGTGCATTATACAAGCTCTGCTGATCTGCTGAGGTCTAAACTTCCAGAATCATCTCTGAACCAAACTCATCCCACTCACTTCATATCAGCCCTCCACTCCAACCCCGACGGCAACCCAACCCAAATTCTTCTTTCTGATTCTCATGGAATCGCGCGCACGCACACACACACTCACACACACGCACGAGCAACTGTCTTGCCGGCTGACAGAGTTGAGCGTGAGCTGTGTTTCCCAATAATAAATCCATCACATGTATGACTCCCATACAGAGGGTGTTGTGTACAACGGGATGAAAGAAGACGTTCAGAGGAGCTGTGTGAAGGATAGATTGTGATCTGATCATGAAGAACAGAACAGTCACATTGGTTGGATGAGAAATTTTCAAGACAATACATTTCAGAAGCAAACTAATTTGTAATTTTTTTCACAACCTGCTTAAATTATGTATTTATTAATATTTAGAAAATGGGAGAAAGTGTTCCAGAAAATCTCATTCTGCACCTTTAAATGTACTGATGACTTGCCGTACAACATGGTTTTCATTAAAATGGTAAAAAAATAACAAAACAAAACAACCCCAACCCTAACCAATAAAGAGTACATTCTCTAACTTAACTCTAAACTTTACAAAGTCTTACCAACTTTATTGTAGAAACATTTTAATTTAGGTAACGCTATGAACTAAGATTGAAAATCTAGTTACTTAAACTAAACAATTTAATTGGCTAACGCTAAAATAATGACCAAAAAACAATCTGCTACGTTTTATTTATTTAATTATTTCTAAAGAAATAAAAAAGTGATACTTGTCATCTGAAGGTCTTCCACAAGAGGGCAGTAGACATGCGTGAGGCTGGAAATGACAGGTTTCGAATGAAAGTACCAATCCTGATCCTGACACTCCGTTTTATCAACTTAAATGCTATAACGTTAATGCAACTTTTAGAAAATGTTATGTTCTACCAGGGGTTCAATTTAGAAAACAGTTTGATTTTCCAATATAAAGATTAGTGATGCAGTGGTCTCCATCACACAGCAGCTGAAAACTCACCTGTTCAGGTTGGCTTTCTTGTGACCTTCATCACCATCCTCTCGTTATTCTGCTCTCCCCACATCTTCCCCAGGATTCACTGGTTTAGCTCTTTCCTACTCTCTCTCTCTCTCTCTCTCTCTCTCTCTCTCTCTCTCTCTCTCTCTCTCTCTCTCTCTCTCTCTCTCTCTCTCTCTCTCTCTCTCTCTCTGCATTTTTAATCACAAATGTCTATGTTTGCTTATTTTAAACATGTTTTTGATCATTTTTAAAATCTTTTTTATATTTTAATTTTTTTGTGAAGCGCCTCGTGATTTTTATCTTGAGAGGTGCTATGAAGATTGTTTTCTTTCTTTCTTTTTAAGACTGGAAGTTCATCTTGTAACCCATTCCGTTAAGATGGGGCTGGTTGGTGGGGTGGTGGCAGACCCGTAGAAGGAAACATGGCATCTGACATGGCATTGCCCAGAGACTTAGACCCGCTATCATATTTTTTATTGTATTATGTATTTTTTGTTGGCCAAATACATGTTTATTCTTTACAGCATGACTGTCGGTTTAACTTCCGAAATGTAGCCAATATCCAGCATCAGACTAACAATCAGACCATGATGAGTCACCAATAGGTTGGCTGTAAGTCACTTGGCCCTGCTGATTACCAACATTTTCCAACTTGGTTTCATTTTTAACCCAACAATGATCGGTGTGCAGTTTTGTGAAATTCACCTTTTTATATTTATAGCTTTAACTTTGTTCATTGAGTTTTTATTCTATACATCAATCTTGTCCCAGGATTCCAACCATTGCAGGCACAGGCCAAGTCCACTTGATTCATTCCCAAACACACAAACTGCTCCGCTGCATGAGCGCACACCAACCAGAACGCCTCCTCTCTTACAAATGACTTCTAATCCGCTGTTATTTCCCTGTTTTCTCCACCTCCGCGAGTTATCGAGTGAAGCCTGCAGGGAAACGACCAGAGAACCGGGAGGAGAGATGGAGCTTGATAATTAACGGGGGTACTTGAACTGGTGACGTGGGCGGAGGGTGGGTGGGGGATGGCTGGAGAGAGGAGGAGGGCCGGAGACAAGGGAGAGAGGTCTTGGCTCTTGTCTTCCAGAAGCTCTTTGATTCAGTGGCTGAGACAACGCAGCTCACCGGCCACTCCAAACACCGTAAGTCCTCCTTGTCTTCGCTTTCTTAGCTTTAAACCGCAGCTCGGGTTTATTTCTCAGAAACGTGTTTAAGTTAACGATAAGCTGGGAAGAATGAAAGTTTGTGCGTAAAATAAGACATTTGGCAAAAATAAAGCCGTCAATATTTCTTTGCGTTAACATACTTGGTTTATTTTGAAAATGAATAAGAAAAAAGTACAAGTTTTGGGACAAATTAAGAAGCAAATGTGTCTTTTTGCAGTTGAAGTCGCTTTTCACCCAGACACACGCGGGAGCTGTCCGTGGTGCTGAAAGTTTTCGCAGTGTGATGTTCGTTTCCAGTTTCGTGTCTGCGTGCTAAAAACCGTAAAGTCCGAGCATTTTACCGACCAAATCATTTTTTTCTCCACAGTAAAACGAAGAGCCTCGACCAAACTCAGCTCGGCAGATCGCTGTGAAGACAGAATAAAGATTTTCCTTTCAGCGCATTGAGTATTTTTGTGTCTTCGCGGACGAAATCAAAGAAAAAAAAAAAGCTAAACTTTTATGAAACTACACTCGGTGTTTTAGATCAGCTCCGAGCCGGAAAATGAATCCTGCATCCAGTGAAGGCAAAACCATCCGGTCAAAGTCCCTGAGCGAGCGTTTGGCACAGATCAGCGCGTCTGAGATGAAGAGAAGCGCAGCAGGCGCCACTCGGTAAGAAGTGGACGAGAGAAAACCAGAGAACCCAAAGAGAGTGGAGGTCAGCAAATGATGGGGATGAAGCACTTCCTGCTGCTTTTGATTTACTTAGACCCGTTAAATGTCTTATGCGCTGTCACCCCCAACAAGAAGAGCAAAATTCCTCCGAGGAAGAACCCAAAGGTGAAGGAGGTCAACGGAAGCACCACCGCGGTTCCCGCCCCCGTCCCGGTGGAGAACACCCAGGTCCAGGCTCCCTCGGTAGGGCAGCACGATACCTGCTTGGGCTACTACGACGTGAGCGGTCAGTACGACAAAGAGTTCGCCTGCAACAACACGCTCCACCGCTTCTGCTGCGGCAGCTGCTTCCTGCGTTTCTGCTGCGCGGACCGCGGGAAGCGCGTGGAGCAGAAGACCTGCACCAACTACATCACCCCGGACTGGATCAAGACCCAGCCCCCCTCACCGGCGCCCACGGGGGACCTGTACGATCCGGCGCTGGACCAGACCAACACCACGGTGTACATCACCTGCGGGGTCATCGCGCTCATCATCACCATTGGGATTTCTGTCAAAGTTGCCTATGATAAGGCCACGAAGCCCCCCCAGGAGATGAACGTTCACAGGTAAGACTCCCCTCATCCTCATAACCAGTGCAGAACCATGACTGGTCTGTCTAAACTGTCCCTGTGAGTGTGTGTGTGTGTGTGTGTGTGTGTGTGTGTGTGTGTGTGTGTGTGTGTGTGTGTGTGTGTGTGTGTGTGTGTGTGTGTGTGTGTGTGTGTGTGTGCATGGTTGTTTGTCCTTTGTGTCTCTGTGTTGCCCTGCGATGTCCAGGGTGTGCCCCGCCTGTTTGTCTAGAGACAGCTGAAGATGGGCACCAGCATCCCCGTGACCCTGTAAGCAGGTATAGAAAATGAAAGGATTAGTAGATCCACTCGGGGCATTGAACATGCATGTGTAAAACTTGCAAAATAGAATATTTTTCTGTTAACCAGATAAAAATTGTTCAAATTTTATTCAAACATTTGATGAATAATTCCTTATTCATAAAACAATGACTACTGTTGTGAACCAAGCAGATCTATAATTTAGTCCATCTCATGACCTTTTCACACATGCCATCCTCCCTCCCAGAGCTCCTCTTTACAAAAAATGTCAAGATAACTCCTTTCACTCTCCACATCCCTTCTGAGTTATTCTTTGAGTGGGGGAGGGGCTGTGGTATTTTATTTCCTATTGAGCCTTGGAGGAATAAACCAAATGCCACTGAGAACCATTGTGAGAGAGGCTCCTGTTGGGAGTGGTCCGTCATAGATCGACTCTATCTTTTCATCAGAGATGGTCTCTCAATTGAACAAAACATTAAAAGACAGCCTGAGGTCTGCACCGGCTGTGATGTTGGGCTGTTTGGAATACATCAAAGGCAAATCTTTTAGCCACCCAACGTTGTATGAATTCATAACACGTGAAAAACAAATAAATAAATAAAACATCTGACACAAGTAATTTAAGGGCATTTGTGTTTGGTTTATTTCTACGCTCTAACTGCTTATTTACAACAAATCATATTTAGTTGGAAGACCGATTGGTTACCTTTAGTACGAGACAGGTGATAAAGACTTTACAGTTTTAGAATGACCAATGCAGAGAAATGTGTGTAATATTTTCCTCTTGATATTCAATCTTGTTCTGAATTTTTGGATAGATTAGTTGATAAAATTTACTCAAATCAATCAAGAAAAACAAAAGCAAAAGAAAACAAAGTCTATTTTGCATTACTCAGGTGCCTCAGAAGCCTGTCAGAGATCCATACAGAGCCACAATGGCTGTCTCTTCCCCCTCATGCTGGTCACCAGTCTGGTACTGCTGTGGATTGGTTCCCATGCTTCAACAGGAGATGCTATAACCAACCAATGTGGTGGTGTTAGTCACTCAAGCACAGTAGTTTCTAAACATTGTGAAATAAGGGTTTCAAAATGAGGTTTTATTTATTGAAAAAATAAAATATATAAATGTGCGTGTGTGTGTGTGTGTGTGTGTGTGTGTGTGTGTGTGTGTGTGTGTGTGTGTGTGTGTGTGTGTGTTAAAAACATTTTTTCACCTTATCAACAATGTATTAAACCCTTAAAGGTCTATGAAAACATTATTGTAGGACATTATGTGAGAACCTTTGTAGATTTGAAAGATTAAACGGTCTTTTGCCTTAAAGCTGTCAGATTGTTCTGTAAACTTGCTCCAGGTTTTAATGCAAACCCAGTTACATACCACTCACCCCTTCCCTTCAGTGTCTTCTGCCTGAACTGGAAACCACAGTTCAGGATGAAGTGAGATACTGGTAAACACAGTCGCCATTTCCTAGGTTCAAACGTCTTTTGTTGACTTCATACGGTGATTTACTTTTTGGGACTCTGGTAGTTTGTCCTAAAGTAGAAGTGGTAGCAGCCGGCTGTTTCTCCTTCTCAGGTTTTATTGAGCAGAGAACCTCTCACACCAGTGGTGTTCTGTTACTAAACATGTGAGTGTGTGATGAGTGGAGGACCCAGGGAAGTGCTGAAGTGGCAGTTTGTTGAGACCGACAACGAGTTGGTCCAGTAGTTGTTTTCAGTCTGAACTGTATTACTGGCAAGTGTTTTTAGAAGAAAGCAACTGCTTCATTTTTTCATCTATGTTTGTGTTTATTTATTTGGCAGATGCTTTTATCTAAAGCAACAAACACGTTTTTACCTGTGGGGCATGTTGTGGTCTGCGGGGGGAACCAGAATACCCAGAAGGAAACCCATGCATGCATGGGGAGAACATGCACCTCCACGCAGAAGGACTGCAGCCAGATTTCAAACCTGCAACCTTCTTGCTGCGAGGCAACAGTGCTAACAACTGTGCCACCATGCAGCCCTAACTCTCAATAAATGTATAGCTATACTATGTTAGAATGTTAATAAGAGGCATGGCAATTTCTTTAAGCTAATTTGTTTTCCAAATTTGCCATTCCAGCTTTAATAGAAGAAAAGCAGAACATGTTCTAGATTAGAAAGTTCAAATGAAAAAAAAAAGTCCATTCAGCAATAACAACAGTATCTGGATTACTCATCCTTTAGTAATATTTAAATTATAAGTCAAGTTTAACGAGTAGTACTCATAAATCAACGTTTGATTTTATGTATCTACCATGAAATGAAATCAGTTGTGGTGTCTTTCTGCATCACTGCCTGGTGGAGGGACACAGTTCTACCTCACGTTGATTCATTTCATGCTTTTATCCAACTCAACTTACAAGGTACCTTACCAGGGGCGGATTAAGGACTGAAGAAGATCCGGGGCTTAACACACACACGCGCACACACACACGACATGCACTAGTCAACATCATATATATTTGTCTTGTACCACATAGTTTTTAATCTGAAGCTACACATTCAGCATATGCAGGGCAGAGTATTGTTCCTGTTAGTGTTTAGTGTGAGACGATAGTAAATATTCCCTTTCTTTCTCCAACCACTTCACCTGATAGTAAGCTAACTTTAGGCAAACCAGCAGCACAACAAATATTTTCAAATAAGACTCACAAACCTGAGTCAACAACAGTCTCATCAAAGCTGGGGTTCTGTCGTTGTACTTTTGGTCTAAAAAACGTCCTTATGTCCATCTTCACTCATGCAATTCAGGCAGAGACTGTAGAAGAAGCCGGCTGCTGAAGGGCTTCTTCTTCAGTGGTGGAGGCTCAGGCAGGCTGTATACAACTACTGCCAGCTGCTCCCTCTCTGTTGGACTTTGGTACTGCATGTTACTTCCACGTTTTAGATCCGGGGCTTTTCATGAAACATTCGGGGCTTGAGTCCAAGAAGCCAGGCCTAACGCCGCCCCTGGACCTTACATGCATGCTTTTGGTCTGGGGTGGAAACTAGAGCATGTGGTAAATACTCATACGAGAACATGCCTCAGAGGGGCCGTAGCAGGGATTTGAACCTCCAACCTTCCTGCTGCAAAAGATCACTGTCCTCTAATGACAGGAAATAACAGGAGGTAATAAACAAAATAAAAGATAAAACACAAGTAACTAAAGAAAGAAGTGACCAACAAACCCACAAACACAGAATAGTTCAACTTAACTCTGCAATAAAAGTTTCATTTTTATGGTTTTGGTCTTTTCTGTGAAGAGACTCAGTCACGAGAAGATGTAGAAACCAGACCTCTATCCATTTCATTTTAAATTTGTGAACTATATCTGCATTCTTTATTCTTCTTTACTTCTTTTGATATATTGGATGTAAATGTCCTTTGACCCTTTCATCATGTGTGTGGTTTTCTTAAATTTAAAATGTAGTTCACACAAAAAGAAAACATTTTAATTGATTATCTCTGATTATAAGTAGCGACTCTGAGTTTTTCATCTAGGTTGAACATAAAACAGTCTCCTACACCTACCTCCTGCATCAGCTTCTGCACTGTTAAATCTGATTAGTTCCGCTTTCTTGAAAAAAGCCTGCAAACCGATTGCACCTAAAATAATATGTGCATGGGACTGGGTGATATGCGTAGGAGCTACTAGTAATGAACAAGTAAAATAAACTTAATTACAAGTCATTTTAACTAAGTCAAACCAGTACAAAGTACTTGGAAATTTGTTTACTGAACGAGTTTTTCTGAGTTGTACATACTTAAGCTGTACTAAACTAAGCACGATTTCTTGTACATCGTACTAGTTTGTCTCAGTAATAGTAACTTGCCTTTAGGTCGTGTGTACTTATAAATGTAAGTGTGATAGAAAACAGACGGGAAAACTCTAGGATTTGAAAATCCTGCATGTCACACTGTCACTGAACGTTCATGGACTCAACAATCTTGACTCAGGACAGGTAAGGCCGTTGTTGGTTTGGCATCATGGAATCTTTATTGGATGCCTTGGCTAGTTTAAGCTAAGCGTTAGCTTTAGCAACTTCACCACATGGCAGAACTCCTCCAGGCCTGTGTTATTTGTGGAGATAAAAAAATCCATGTTGAAAGTTAGTGGTGGAGTCCCGTTGCTGTTATCCAGTACCCCCCTCCCCGCAACGTTACAACCTACCTACCTGGTTACTCCACAAACGTGTTTCATGAGCATTTTTTTAAACTCAGAGTACAGCTGAAGGACTTAGTTGTTCGTCCTTTTATCAAAACTTTTTTTGAGCCTGAGAGGGTTAAAAGTGACATGGGTTAGAGATAAAAACAAATGTTCCCTATACTAGGACACTATCACTTGATCAAATAAAAAAAAACTTCCTATTAGTTCAATATAAAACAGCCTGTGGTTGTTTACAGAATAGAAATGTTTCTACAGCAGCGCAGAATGACCAAATCCGGCCTTTAAGTATTTTACTTTTGTCTTTTTGTTTTGGTCTGCTGGCTGATTGCTCAGTTGGTTCTCCTGAGAGTCATTAAATCCTCCACCCTGAAAGTCAGAAACAAACAAATAAAATCAACACAGGTCTCACTGGAGACCAGGCTCGGGGTGACCAACTGTGAAAAAATAATGAATGAAGGCCCAGCAACTTTTTCCACCACACTCCTTCCAAGACAGGAGCGCTGATAACAACTACAGTTTTTATCAGAAACATGGCTGCTTGTTTACTGGTGGATGTCTAATTCTGGACTTTCAAAAGCTGCAGCTGATTCAGGCTCATCGGGTATTAAATAGTGATAAAGAGGTCTGAAGAGAATGACAAGCTTCTCCTTCGATGGTAAAAAATAAATAAATGATTAGTCATCTAGTCAGGGCTCTTATTCATGAGTCACTGGAGTTTTGGACAAAGCAGCGGAGGATCGTTTGCTTCTCAGCCGGAGCCAAGAAGTTGACTTAATGATGCGATGATAATCAGGCGTTGTTATGCTGCAGTCCTGAGATGCACTGCCTGCTGCTCTGAAAACGTCAGACATCACTCATTTCTTTCTCAGAAAACAAAAGCAGAAAATGTTTAAATTCCAGGATAGATGTGAGTTCCTTTAGTGGGCCGGCTTTACTCGGGGGATTCCGTATTTGTTTAAAAATGTTTAGATGTTTCTGCTGAAAAGTGAGGAAAAAGTGAAGTTCCTCAAAGTCAACAAGACCATAGAGTCATGTAAATGGGCATCAGCGAAACTTTAGACTGAATTTCCATTTGTTTGTTTCTCTACTTTAATTATTTGAATTTTTACACTGACCCTCTGTCGCATGTCTGATGGCAGCTGGAAAAACGGCTGGTGGCAGACGTTCCTCCTGAAAGGATCTGGATTATCTTTACAGCTAGCTGGGGTCTGCTCCTGAAAAGTGGGAGCGTCTCTGTTAATTTCCGGTGCTTTGCTAAAGTGATGTGGCCTCCCACCTCTGTGCCTGACTTGTGGGGGAGGAGGTGTGTGAGCAGAATGCGGAGCTGCTGTCAGACCTCTGTTTGGTCTGTGACCTTCACTGAAACACAAGACATGTGAGTGAGCGTGTGATTCAAACGGGCCGTATTGATCACTTTCTGCAGAGCAAACTGAGAGGCAATTTATGCCTGCCAGGTGGTGAGGAGCATGCTTTTGTTCTCTGATTGCAGCTCAGAAATGGCCATGATGAGAGGCTTCTCAGGTTCACGCTGCTGCGATTCAACTGAAAACAACTTTCTCCAACCGCTTTGTGGAAATAGAGATCCTAGAAGTTTTGAATTCAGAAACACATTTTGTTCAAAGAGCCAAACTAAAAGTGCTTCGGTCTACAATTTTAAACGAGTTTTCTGTAGTTTAGTGTTTTGTTTATGGTTGCTAACCTATCCTACAGAAACAGTTAGCACTAACAGTCAGCAGAAACCCTAGCCCCTTGACCTGGAGCACATTTTAAACGGCATCACATTAAACCTAGATCTGAGCTCAACTGGGACAACTAACACCTAAACTAAACACACTTTCACAAATATGCAGATGTTTCTAGAAAAAGTGAAACACTATTATTATCTTTACAATACTATTCATTGTAAAATAATGTTACCTCATTCTATAACACAACCAGTTTTACCATAAATGAATAAAAACATGCAGTCAAACAATTGAATATTAACATTTTAGTGTGTAAATCAAATAGTTGATTGATGACAAACTTGAAATATTAACTGAAATACAATGAAAACACATTTACAACGATTTCATAAATGAAATATTTTACCTTGTCATGGTATCAGATTTTCACAAGCATGATCAACCTTTGATTATATAATAAGATTTAGGAAAATACACTGAAATTGTATATTTTCTGCTGAAAACACACAGGAAATGCTTTTGTGAGGCTTGTCAAAATAAGAGCATCAACTGATGCCTGGGCATTTCATTGTTAAACAATGCTGCCGTATTCAGGTAATTGGTGCTGAAAACTTTTGGTCAACATTAAAATCAAAACTTGATCCTGAACTAAAGGCTCCTGCAGATTAAGACCAATCAAAGGTTCTTTTGAGGCTCCGTGTATCATTTGTTGTGATTTCTTATGAAGATGTTTGAGTGGGGAGGTTGCACACCACGGCCAGATAGTCAACTAGGACAAGATGAAATCAGGTCGTCTCTGTCTGCAAAACAGAAACAGCTAAAGTGTCCTCATTCTGGAAGGGAACTGCTATTAATACATCGCAGATCTCCCAAAGTCACCAAGTGAGGGAAGAGTGGACTGGGTGTTTGCGTTGGGTTGACATTGACACACTTGTGTTGCCCTTTTATTTCCTCTAAGATAAAATGATGCATGTGTGACTGTGGCATTTCAAGGTTGAAGCCAGCATTGAAACTAGCCTAAAATAAGCGTGTCTTCATCTGATTTTTTCACCTTTTGTGTGATTTCCTTTCAGAGCGCTGGCCGACATCCTGAGGCAACAAGGACCAGTTCCGATATCCCAATATGAACATGAAAACATGGCGGCCATTGATGGGTCTCCGAAGGACGAGACGCCGGTCAGAAGCTCGAAGAATCATTACACACCGGTCCACACAAAGGCATCGAACCACGGTAGGAGACTGTCTTGCCCAAATTGGCTCTAGCTGTGAGGCTGCACTCACACATTTACGTTTCTTATTTTTAAAGGCTTGTCCTAAATCACCTCTTCTTTAAACTCGGGTCCTATGTGCTTCGACGTTTCTTCAAAAGCCGATTCAAGCTCTTTGTCCGTAGATGATTCCAGCACGTGTTTCTGTTTCTCCTGCTTTTATCCCACCGGTCTACACGTTCCGGCTTCGGGACTAAACTTAAACTGTCCTATATGTTGTCCCAGATTCAACAGTTTAATCGCTTCCACTTTCTAACACGAAGAGAATTATTCAACAAAAGTTGGTTACAGCACCCTACATGCGTTTATTTGACTGGCCCTTATGTTTAAAAATGAACTGACCTTCCTCTTTGAGGAATTTGAGATTTAGATAAAAACATTTATCATGTTACACAATTCTTCAGATCATCCTGAGAAACGACTCAGTATTACACTTTTGATCGTTTGGGGAAGTTTGCAGGTGACATGACTGATAAAGTGTTTCACATGCAAAGAAAAACACTTAAAGGCTCAAGAATGTTTAGATTTGAAGGGCTTCACCTCACACCTAAACTCCCAGCTGGTGTGTGTGTGTGTGTGTGTGTGTGTGTGTGTGTGTGTGTGTGTGTGTGTTTTCCAGTTTCTCACAAACCTAAAACATGCGCGCTAGATCAGCTATCTGAGACTCTAAACCAGTGAACCTCAATCGCAGCCCTTGGGCCAAATCCAGGCCGCCAGAGTTTTCCACCCGGCCCCCCAACTCTTTGGGCCCTAACTGGGGGACGTTGGAGTTTAGCAGCAAAATTAATTTCCCAAACATCAATATTAGTTTACATTCTCCAAACACATTACATTCAAACAGTTTAGATGGAAAACAAAGCCATTTCAATGTTAATAAACTAAGATAATAATACTTGAACTTTATATTAGAAGAGCGTTTGGCCTTCTTCAGAATCAGAATCAGAATCAGAAAAGGTTTATTGCCATTGTCAGTGAACAAACAATTCACAAACTAGGAACTTGCTTCGGTACTAACGTGCTACATATAACATGAATAATATAATTAAAAAATAGAATAAAGTAGAATAAAGTAGAATAAAATATAATAAAGTAGCATAAAACTTTGCTATAAAAATGGCAGGTAGAGGTAACATGGCCGATAATGTGACGTTATGTCAAGTACCGAAGACCAGCATGGTTGTGTGTTTATAAGCTGTTCACAAGTCTAACGGCAGATGGAAAGAAGCTGTTCTTATGGCGAGAGGTTCTGGTCCGGATGGACCGTAACCTCCTCCCTGAGGGAAGCGGCTCAAAAAGTCTGTGACCCATTTGCGAAGGGTCAGCTGCTATCCGACCTGCACGCCCCCGAGTTCTGGAGGCGTACAGGTCATGGAGAGATGGAAGGCTGCAGCCAATCACCTTCTCAGCAGAGCGCACAATGCGCTGCAGTCTATGTTTGTCCCTCACCGTGGCTCCAGCGTACCACACAGCGATGGAGGAGGTGAGGATGGACTCAATGATGGCCGTGTAAAACTGCACCATCATCTGGGCCGGCAGCTTGGCCTTTTTCAACTGCCGCAGAAAGTACATCCTCTGCTGGGCCTTTTTGATCAGGGAGCTGATGGATGGCTCCCACCTAAGGTCATGCGTGATGGTGGTTCCGAGTAAGAGGACGGAGTCCACAGTGGTGACGGGGGTGTCCGTCAGGACGAGGGGGAGAGATGGGGCTGTGACTTTCCTGAAGTCCACAATCATCTCCACTGTCTTCTGAGCATTTAGCTCCAGGTTGTTGCTGCTGCACCAGTACACCAGCCGTTCCACCTCCCTCCTGTAGGCGGACTCATCATCGTCAGAGATGAGCCCGATGAGGGTGGTGTCGTCCGCAAACTTGATCAGTTTAAAAGGTGTCATGGTGTCTGCTGGAAAAAAAACTTGGGCTCTTGAACAAATTTTGCAGAGGACCCCCGCTATATAATATCCCCCAGTGTGAGTATGAATGGTCGTTTGTCTCCATGAGCCTCTGTGATGGACTGGTCACCTGTCCAGGTGTAACCCCATCTCTGACGCATGAGCTGTGGAGATAAACTCCAGAGCCCTGTGGCCTTACACAGGCCAGACTGGATGCTTGAATATTGTATCAAACAGGATGAGCAGAAACTTCATTAGAAAGTATTTTACTCATCAGTTTTGGCTAAAATTAGACATTTTTTGACACATTAAACCAAAAAAACCTTGCTTCCAGGCCAAATTCTATTTAGTTTTAGCCTAAACGTCTTTTGAGTCCAAATAATGCACATTTAGGTTTCAGGCTGAATGAACAAACCCCATTTTACTCAAGAAAATCATGCAGACCTATGGTATTGGTATTGTACTAACTTTGTTAAAACATGTATTTAAAGGTGTTGTTCACTGAAAAAACATTTCCTAATGATTATTTCTGATTATAATCAGTCACTGTGAGTTTTTCATGCAGGCTAAACATGAAAATAGTCTCCTACACCTACCTCCTGCATTAGTTTCTAATAGAAAGTAGACGGTGAAACTCTAGATTTAGAAATTCCACATCAGATCTGCGTCACACTGTCACTTCACATTCATGTACTCACCCATCTTGACTCACGACGGGAAAGTCTGTTATTTGCTTAGCGTCCAACCGACCGCAGAGAGCACCTTGGTTAGTTGAAGCTAAACATTATCATTCGCCACTCCACCACACGGCAGAACTCCTTCAGGGTTATGTTATTGGTGGAGATAAAACATCAGCGCTGCAGAGCAAATTTGGTCAATGGTAGACTCGTGTTGCTGTTATCCCATCAGAGACAAGATGTCCAAATATCAGGAAATAAGACTAAAGCCTGCCCTCTGAAGCTCAACTCTGATATGACTCACTTCTAGTTCCTAAAACAGACACACCGGTGCCCCCCCCTCCCAGAGAACGACTTACAATCGAAGGGTTGCAGGTTTGATCTCGGCTCCCACCAGATAACGCTGCTGTTGTGTCCTTATGCAAGACACTTAACCCGCCTTGCCTGCTGATGGTGTTCAGAGGGACCAATGGCGCCAGTGTTTGGCAGTCTCAATTTTGTCTGTGTGACCCAAGACAGCTGTGGCTACACTATAGCTCATCATGACCAGCGTGTGACTGTGTGTGACTGACTGATTGTCTTGTGAGGGGCCTTGGGGGGTTGTAGGACCATAACACCTGTAACACACCACCTTCAAAGCACCGTGGATCACTTAATCCTCTGTTCACATGAGGCAAGGAGGTTGCAGGTTCGAGTCCCGCTCAGTCTGTCGCTGTCGTTGTGTCCTTGGACAAGACACTTAACCCACGTTGCCTGCTGGTGGTGGTCGGAGGGACCGGTGGTGCCAGTGCTTGGCAGCCTCGCCTCTGTCAGGGCAGCTGTGGCTACATCGTAGCTCATCACCACCAGTGTGTGAATGTGTGTGTGAATGGGTGAATGACTGATTGTGTTGTAAAGCGCCTTGGTGGGTTCCAGGACTCTAAAAGGCGCTATATCAAATACAGGCCATTTACCATTTTACCACGCCACCCACCCCCATGCCATTGCTTTGTGTGTGTGTGTGTGTGTGTGTGTGTGTGTGTGTGTGTGTGTGTGTGTGTGTGTGTGTGTGTGTGTGTGTGTGTGTGTGTAAAACTAGTTTGCCCTGCTTGTTGATATCAGAAACTGCGCTGATTTGCTGTTTTGTAGGCCAGTTCTGTTATAAATGATTACGTAAATAACCTGGTGTTTGTGGTTATGTACAATACTTTTGTATAGTTACCTTTGAATAAACATATTTGTTTGTATTCATATTTATTAAATCCGTCTGTTGCTGTAAAAACGGCATTTGAAATGATGAAACGCTGCTCCACAGGAGTGTGTGTGTGTGTGTGTGTGTGTGTGTTTGTGTCTTTGTTAATTTTCATCCCTCTAGTCTGTTTAGATTCACAGAAAGGATCAAATTTATCAATCGCAGTGTTTTATTTTGGATATTTTTATTTAATTTTGTTAAATTTACCGGCCTGCCTCTTTGGTTTTGGTTTGACTTCCTGCCAGAATTGATGCGGCTCACTCACGGCTCGCAAAAAACAAACAAAAAAAGAGCTCACGTCAAATCTATTGCAGCACAGTGCGAGCCTTCGTGGCGCTTCGCAGCTGCTGTGAGTGAGAGCGTAAGTTAACAAGGGCGCTGATTAGAAGCACTCTTCACTCCACGGTGCTTCGCAGCGCATCGTCGCGCTTCCACGTCTGGTGTGTTCTGGCGCTTTGCAAACACAGTCCATTTACCATGTTACCATTTACAAGGCATTCGTTCCCATTAGACACCACTGCGAATGCATTGATTCAAACGAGTGAACCACACTACGTTACCCCCATTAGAGACAACACATCCAGTTGCCCCTAATGCCTTAAAAACACACTTAAACAAATAATTTTTTATATTTGTTTTTACTTTATGAATTAAATGTTGAACTAGATCGGCAAAACACTTGGTTAGAATTTTTGAAATGTTTTTGCAAAATAAAAAGTGGGTGAGACCTAACTGTAAGACAGACCTGCAGCCTCAGCCTCCAGCCCTCTAGCGCCACCGTCCTGGATGCCTCTCTGTTCCAACGCATGACCTGGTTCACAGGATATGATCATTTTGATTATTTTTTACTTGATCCCCTCCTTCTGAAAGCCTTAAGGATGTGCCTGGTAACCACTTCTGCTTTAAAACAAATTTGGTCAGATATTCCATGCCATGTGTGGTGAGTTCAGAGCATTTTGATCTACTAGGAAGAACTTTTGGGCTGCTCTGATCACAGATTGGGTTTCTTAGACTTGTTGCATTGTCTTGGTCAGATTTTGGGGACAAACTAACTGAGGTCTAGCCAGTCAGGGCGTGAGAAGATGGAAGCACACAACACACTCCTCTTCTGCTGGTGTTTTGCTCCAAAGTAGTGATGATTTCCTTTCCTATCCGATACCAGTGAAAA